GAGAGAGAGAGAGAATGTTTGGTTAAGGTAACGTCATTCGTATCCAAGACTCGTAGGCGAGCTGACCCACAATGCGACCCACACGTCCCTCTTTTAATTTTTCTCCTCGCTTTTCGTAAGAAGAGAGATGAGAATAAGAACGAGGGTGGAGAGAAAATTTTACGTATTTCCATTTGGATACACACAAATATCGTAAAAACGCGCATCGCGATAATTTTCCGCTCCACGGCCCCTTTCTCTCTCTCTCTCTCTCTCTTTCTCTTTCTCTCTGCGCTTGCGCAGTAATTACAGACTTCAATGTCGGTTCGAGGCTTCCCTCTTAATAAACGTCCCTTTCTTCCTCGCGAATTATCGATATTGTAAATTGTTACGTTACGACGTAATTGAAATTCGCACGGTGGTAAACTCTTTCTCACGAAATTTAGCCAGGGAACAAAAGTTTCTGCACAATAAATATACACGTAATTACAGAGAAATTATCATAAATACGGATAATTTTCTTTCTGCTATTCTTCTTTCTTCTTATTTCTTTCGTTGTTTCTTTCTCTTTCTTCGTGCTACGAGGATACGGAAACGAGCTTGTAACGATGATTGCAGGTTGCACAGACACGCGATGTTCTTTTTCCTTTTGTCACGAATGTCAACCTCGGATCGTTGCATTGTTCGTGCCAATGCTCGAGGTTCACTGGCTTCGAATAGAGAGATATAAATAAAATATATATCTTCTCGCTTGAACGCGAAATCTCGAAAACCATGAAATTATCGTTGCCTGATATAAAGATAAAGCGCTGATCGAATTCTCCCCGATTTTAACTCGTAACTTTAACCCTTTGCGTTCCAACAGTGACGCTCAGGCATCAAATGAATGAATTGATATGGCGATTCGAATTTATTTATGTTTGATTTTTTTAAAATATCGCTTCGTAAATAGATTGTTAAGCTTTTTATAATCTTGTAAAACGTAGAATAATATATTATCGAATAGTTAGATTTTTTTATCTCAAATTAGACCGTGGATCGAACTATATATATTTTCGGCGTTAGTCCGAGTTTGACTGAATTAATGACGATAGAAATATTATTTTCAAAGTTTTTGAGTTTTGCGAGCATGGAGTGAAATTAGTTCGAGCGAAGATGAGTTTCATCTTTCGTTATCTTTCGAGTTTTGGCCGCGGAAGGGCGGAAATCTCGAACAACTCTGCAAGCTAGGGAAGAGCGGTAAATCCCTGGAAGGATCTGGAAGCGTAAATACGACGCGCTCCCACGCGCTGCTCTAATGCCGCGTACTCGCCGAATGTGTCAACCGTACAAATATATATTTCTTTATTGTAATCCACCCACGTATTTACCACCTTCTTTCGCTACCCTAAACGCCTCCCGTTTCGTTTCTCTCCTTAATAACGAATAAACGATCTTGGATCTCACTGAATATTAACACATTACCGACGGGAAACGAGAATTCTCGTTTTATTGAAATATACGTTGTTACCGACGGGAAACGAGCATTCTCGTGAAAGTTTTACAAAAATGTCCCGTCGTTAAGTAGAGGAGAATGAATGAAAACGACGATTGGAATTAATCCATCGATTCGATTTAATTTATGTTCATCCTTTGCGCTTCAGATTTTCCGCACTCTTTCGATGATTTTCTTACAGCTAACTTAACTAACCTTTCGATCATGGCGTCCTCCGATATGAATAAATATGCTTGGTGTATCCAAATTTCGGTAAATTTTATTCTTTGCGTAAAATGTAACATTATTCTTATTTCTCACCTTCTTATACATTTAATTTCATTATCGCATTCCAAAATGCTTGCAAAACTCGAAAACTTTGAAGATAATATTTCCATCGACTCAATCAAACTCGGGCTAACGCTGAAAACGTACTTCGATCACGGTTCAATTTGAGATTAAAAAAAAAAATCCAACCATTATTCCACTTGGTAAGATTAAACGTAAAGAGATTAGGAATCTGTCTTCGAATTGCCGCATCAATCCAAGCGGTGTTTGAAAATTTAAATTAAATTCAACTTAAATTTAATTTCACCTCTGAATTTTATTCCTCCGTACTCGCGCATGCCCTGTGGGAAACCGCGAGGCGCGATACGAGTTTTCCGTGTCATAAGTGTGTCGAAACGTGAAACGACAGAGGGCGGCCGTTTCAGTAGCGCAGAAATAGCCGTGTCGAGACTCCTCCGTTTCCTTCCAAGTTTTAACGATCGAGGGAATATAAGAGGGAACGACAAGTGTATCGACACACCGATAACACCGATCCTTTAATTTGCCCTTCTTCTTCTCGCGACCGTTTCGAACTCCCACGTTTAATAAACATCCCACGGTCGATGCCACCGCCGATTTACGAGCTTGCCGGCACGCACCGCCCACGCGTACGTATCTTGCCACAGATGATAACCGGCGTGGTCGGGCTGCCTCGCATCTCGATCGATTTGGCGCGTTCGTGTTGTTGTTGTTGTTGTTGTCCAACGATCGTTCCGCTTACGAAGCTTGTGAAAACTTAACCCTTTGCGCTCGACGAGTTTTTCATATGGAATATGATTTAACATAAAACGATTTTATATTATCATTTACATCTTTGAAGATATGATTTTTTAATGTTAATTTCTGTATTTTTTTTTCTGATAATTTATGAATTGTTGGTTTATTTATTATTGTTGGACAAATATCGTAATAATAAGTTGTGTTTCACGTCTTCCATCTAGTTCGTTTCGGCAAACTTCACAATCTTTTCTTGTTCTCGTTAAAATCAATGTGGAGCTTCTCGTTCAATCGAATCTCATTAATCGTAATTAGTGATCGAAGCTCGATCTCGCGGTTGTGGAAAAAAATCTCCTCTCAATTGGTGTATTAAAATTTTTATAAATTGTGTGTGTGGATGAGTGTAAAATCTTTCGTTTCTCTGCTTTTTTACTAAAATATATAAAGGATTGAATAGTAGAATCAATCTCGACGGTTCAAAATTAAATTCATCTTCACTCAAGTTAATTTTATTTTTTCTAAACTTCGCGAAGCTATAATAATTCTTTTACCGATACGATCGTCGAATCTGAAACATTGGAGACGACCCATAGTTTTGGAGGAATATCTTAAAGAGCTGAATAAAAAATTTGGCACAGATGAAGACTCGCCAGTGGTGTATAAAAAATGGACAAAATTCATTTACAAATTTAAATAAAAAAATAATCGTTTCGATGTAATAAACCATAAACACAATAAAACTAT